GCCTTTTTGGGCTCGCCACCTCCTCCTTGTGACAGTAGAACCGTGGACTGAGCCGATTGCTCAACAGTAGTGGGCGTGCTGCTGACATTGCTGTTGCGAGTGTCCATGGCAGTGTCACTCGCAGCCCAATCCGAAGCAGAGCAAGCTACAGGATGATAGAGTGTGCTCAGCATGGTGCAAATAATATGAGCACGAGAGACGGTGCAGACAGTGAGGCGGCCTCAAGCAAGGCAGCATATTGGATGTGAGCCGTATATAAGAGGATACCACCGCAGTTATGGACTTGGCCTTAAGCGTACGCTTCCGGGGACGAGTAGGCCGGGACAAGAACCGATACTCCAGGAATGTCCTGAGCCGCGAGGCTCTGAGATGGATCATTTGCACACAACATGGTTGTAACTGAAAACTGCGGAGCCTTGCATCGAGGAGTTGTGGGCAATACAGCCGCAGCTTCGCACAACGTCTCCAACGGGCAAAGACAGAGTATTTTGAGCCATACAGAGACTGCCGAAGCTGCCACTCAACACGCATCGTCTGACACAGGACTGGGTGAAGTCATGACTGCCGAACCCTCCTGTAATACTCCAGACGGTTTAGCCGCTGCGACACGACTGACTAGTAGCCTGCTCGAGGCGTCTTGTCATGGCACAACACCATCCACGGGAGATGGTTACGAGCACGGAGCTGCCAATCGACAACCTGAGGTGTGCTGATCGAACCTGTGAGGTTGGGGTCTGCAGGCTGCGTACTTCCGCAACAGAGAAGACCGAGTGTAATATTTTCGCGGAGACGGTGACAAGTCAAGGTTTGCCTTCCCTGCTCTGGAGACTGACAGCCCCCAGCATGCATCGTTACGAAGGCTCATCTAACTTCGCTTGCACAACCATCCCCACGTAACTCATAGAAAGGTATTTCGAGACGTACCACGCTCTTGATACGGGTGAGTGAACTGTTCCCGTGTCGTTTCTCGTCCGGTGGCACGTCATGGATGGTGACACATGTGTAAGGGCTGAGCCATGACAGACCTTTGCAAGGCTCAGTCCGCCTTGTAGCGAAGGAAAACTCATTGCCAGATTTGTCTCGAGACGTACAGACAAAGGCTCGACACCAATGAGACGTGCCTGATCGTATGCGCACAAGACAGTGGCACCTTGTGCGGATGAGTTGGTTTTGTTCCATGGTTATCGCCCAAGGATGTATGCTGTGGGATACTGCAGACTGCCTATCAATCTTGCCAATGACGGCTGCGTGCCACCAGTAAAACCAGAACAATGATGTACACGCTATATGCGGCGCGTTGTTGCTAGTGAGCCTGACCCCCTCACACGGCCACGTCTGACATAGCTGCTTGCCACTCTTAACACTGACGTATAAGATCGGCTTAGGGAATGTATCCGCATCGTGCTGGACGCCAAAGCTCAGTCCTTCCGCAACTCGAAGAATACTGTTCGAATATTGTATCAGCTATAGTATCCAAAGGTCCAAAGCAGACTCTATCGTCAGATGTCTAATCAGAGAGTCTTCGTCTGTGCACTCGACAGACAGAAAGTCTGGGCCATGTCGCCTCAAGAGTTCGACCACACATACTGCGGCCGTAGGCACCATCATGCCCCTGTTGTCAGGAATCTGATCACTGACCGAGAAACAGATTTCGAGGCCCATACGATCAACATTATACCAATATCCAAGGGGAGTCGTAAGGTTGACGTGATCCTCAAAGGGTCAATAGACACAAAAACGGTCGACGCCCGTGTTGCCACAGTCACCATTCCGTGGGATGTGATGGTTCGGAGGCTCTGTGGACAGTATAAGGAGATGTACGTCACAACAGACCGATGCCCTAGTAGTCAATGTTGTCATGACTGTTGAGGACTGTAGCACGGGCAGTTGAGCTTCTCTCCAGGAGACACAGTGCCTATAAAAGACAATTGTTTCAAGTTGGTTTGATATGCTATAGTTTCCGAGAGACCTTGCGGACGTTTGGTGTATGAAGAACGACGAAGACAGTAAATGAGAATTCATAAGAACAAGAACAACAAGCAAGTCCGCTAAACTAAAGGTAGTCGTTCATATCCAGGCGAATCGTTGCATCATCAAGTCGAACAGGCGAAGATCAGATATCTTGTTGACTGACGGGCAAACGCAACCTGACAGGCACACATGTTGAATAAAACATATGAAATAAAACCATTTTCCAACCGTATGAAATAGACGACGCTGCTCATTCTGCCCAATCACATGTACTAGAATAGAACTCAACTTCTGATCGCATGGGTTGGCAGTTGCGAACCTCTCAAACCGTTTCCTGAAGTACAAGATCACGTGGTAAGCCATCAAACAGTAGCACGCTCGGGCCACCCGAACTTTTCCAGCAACACCATCATGTGGTAGCGGCCAAGCGTATTCGTGCATCAGGTTGTCGACACCCGCTCAAGTCCACCACAGCCTCGATGAATCGGTCTGTGGTGCGGTCCGCCTTCGGGCGTTGCCGCTTCGAGGTCAATGCCTCCTATCCAACCATCACACCTCGATCCTTCTTCTCAACAACACCACAATCGCAAGCCGACGAGACCGATAGCCCCAGCAGACGGCCAGCCTCCGGCAGGCAACGATCCGCCGCCGCGGCATCAGAGCTGGGCTCCCTCAACGGCGATAAACCAAGCGGCCCGGCTTTTCGCAGATTAACAGGGTTCGATGCACGATCACTCAAAGCCTCCCCTCCAGGACCCAGCGGCGTCACGGCGAAACCCAGGATAATAAACGTTCGCAGCCTCCGTCCACGGGGAGGGGCAGCAGGAAGTGACGGAAACTTCGTCCGGAAAGATGTCGGCCCGCAGGGCGGGCAGAGGACCCCTGGTCGCTTCTCCGGACGGGGAGGTGCGGGTGCTCGAGGACGTGGTGGACGCGCTGGTGGACGCGCTGGTGGCCGGGGTGGCCGAAAGCCGATGAGAAAGGACAGAAAGAAGGAGGACAACGAGGACGACAAGACCTACAAGCTTACTTGGACTCCGGAGCAGAAGGAATTCATCCAGCGCGAGGAGCAGGGTTCTCTTGAACCCTACGAACCCAAGCTCACCATGGACACTCTGGCCGGATACCTGCCTGCCATCGCAACAGACTCATCCCTCACCCAGGTCGGCTCTGCCATGAGGAGCATGCGCATCTTGGCCGGTGGAAGGCCGTTCTATCCCGAAGGTTATTATAGCGACCTTACGGATACCGTCCAAAAGTACAGCAAAGAGAAGAAGCCTGTATTCTTCGACACTGTAGAGGAGAGGGCTTGGGTGCATAGCCATTACAAACGTGAGAACATTCGTGGTGCGGATCGCAGGACTAAGGAGGCCATTGTGCAGTCTGCGATTCAGGGCAAGTACACGGCACCCCAGTTCACAGCGGTAAAGGACACCATGGCCACATTGACGAGGTACCACGTCAAGGACTACTCGTACAAGCCAAGCGACGGGGAGAAGTTCAACGCAAAGGTGCTGTCATTACTGCCAGGTGCTGGAAAGACTACCGGGGCGAAGCAGGCCAAGGCGAAGGCGGCGTAAGGAAGATAGCAGGGGCAGGCCATGAAGTCTGTTCATGTACCACTAGACCAATTGGCACTCTGTATCTGAATACCAGTTTTGTACAATTAATCGAACATGCTCCGGGAGTCGTCTCCCAAAGATCTCTGATATCTCTACCTATCCCTCGCAAGCTGCTGCAATGCCTTCTTCTCCTCAGCATCGATCTCCGCCATTTTCTTATCCTGCAACTTCTGCATATCCTTCTCAATCCTCTTCAAATCATCCGGCAGGATGGTGTTATCCGCCCGCCACTTCTTCAACACCACGTCCCTCTTGTGCCTATGTTCGCGTATCTGCCCCCTCCAGGCATGGCAAATCTCCTTCACCCGTTTGGCCACATCGTCCGCCTTCTCCGCCTCGACCTTCAGCACCAGCTCCTGCTCGTTATCCTCCACCCGCTGGGGCTGCTGGTTGAAGTCCGGGCTGGTCTGGATCGCGCTTAAGACGGGCTTCACATGATCCAGCTCGTGGACGAGGATGGAGATGGTCCGCCCGCCTTTGGGTACGATGGCGGCTAGTTCGTGCAGAGGAAAGGTCGCGGGATCCTTCTTGTCGGGTCGGACGCGCAGGGCGCCGATGACATCGGGGTTGAAGCGCCCTCCGGTGCGCAGTTTCTTGAGGTTGTCGATGTGATGCTCGGCCGCTTTGGCGAAGGCGGCTTCTAGGTCGGAGAGATCGAATGGATCCTCGGGGTTGGGCTTGGGGTTGTTTGACTTGGATGTCGACCCGTTGCCATTGCTTGATGGTGCAGCAGGTGCAGCAGCACCCTTCTTGGAGCTTTTCTCTTGCTTGTCTGCTTTGTTCTTCTTGGCTTGTGCTGCAGCCGTTTGGGAGAAGCAGCGGACTGCGTGGCATGTCGGTTGGCGGGGAGCTAATGCCGGTCTCACTGTCTTGCTGTACACTGAGCTAGCCCTGCATAAAGGAGTAGCAAGAGCTTCGTTGGAGCTATACACAGGTCCACGGATCAGTTACAGTTCCTCTGATGTTCATAGATGCAGACTTACCCTGCTAGCGCCCTCGCGGCAGCATTTCCGCTACGCAAAAGGGCTCGAGACTGACTAACACACTTCATATTGTCGATGGCCGTCCAATTGGCGTATTCAGTAATCTACTTGACTTCAATTGGGAGACTTCTCCCCCAAGTGGCCGACGGTCTTGCATGAACACAGCTCCCGCGAGGTTCATGGCGCGATAAGCTGATAACAGGTTGTTTGACAATTGGTAGAGCACGCACGAGCCAACATGTCCCATCTGCCCCTAGTCTAAGCAGGTCTTACAGCTGGATGCCCGTACAACTTGCATACGTCGGTCCTCCCCGATCATTCTACAAAGTAGATGACACAGGTTGCAGGAAGGTCACGATAGTCATAAGCTACCGAGTTGTCGACGAGTCTCATAGAAACTATCCATTCTCTCGTCAAACATCGAGGTCGTTTAGCTCAGTGGTTAGAGCGTCTGCTTTACATTATCGCAAGGTAATCTTCGCAGAAGGTCGCAGGTTCGACCCCTGCAACGATCATTTGTTTTGTCTTACCACCTACCTGGTGAGGATGTCGCGGAGATGCTTCATTTTTGCAGCTAAACGTTGAGGCAAAGTGAAGTTACAGGATATCTGCAGCAATACTGAGAAGACGGTGGTTGGCGTGCGCTGCATCGACAACGGGAAGCATACAACGGTTTCCTTCGCAAGCTGGTCAGCGGTGACTGAACCCCTCCATCGCGATGCGGGACAATATGCAAGGTCTGATCCGATAGGTCACCCTGCATGCATGCTGTACGATTCCGGGAATTCCTTCTGCGGCTCTGTTTTGTTGACGGAGTTTACCAACAGCGCGGCGGGCAACCCCCATGTCTGGTGCTTCACCCAACGGCCAACATTCCGACAATGTCTCAAGCCTCGGTACGGTACGCGCAAACAAAAAAAAGCAAACGAGTTCCACGGACGAGCTGGCAGGATCCAGGATCTCACGATACGAGAATTGGGGAGGCAAAATGGTAAGTCGGTGTTCGTATGGTGCGTGTGGGTTGAGGAGAAGCTTCGTTGTGTGGGGAAGCATCGCATGCACGGCACCGATGTGGCTCGAGTATCTGGACGTCCCTCAGCCAGTCATTCCCCCATTTGAGCTTAGCTACTAGCCGTCAAATGCATGAGAACGCTATCTACAGCGCAGAGTGAATATCATTTATGTGACAGGTAGTAACGGACGAGAAGCTGGAGGTTGGTGTTCAACCCCACCCGGTCTAACTGTTGCCGACCAGCCATGCCAAGCCCTCCAGAACTATTATTTGATTCGGGCTTGTCCGTGGCTATGTTTACTTTGTCTGAGAGGATACGATGGCGGGCAGAAGTAATCAACAACAACAGTGTTTACTCGGAAGATGTGCCCGGGAGAAGAGAATGCTGTGATGCTGATGTCTCGAAACTCACCGTCACTGAATTCCGAGCATATTGAATCTGGAGATCTCCATCCATAATGATATCGGCTGACATGGGAGATGCTTGGCATGTCCGTTGCTGAACCGGGGCCGGGATATTTCGATTGGCTGGCTTCTCACTGAAAAGGTGGGCTTGGAGGCGCAACGCCAGTGTCTGGGCCGTGACACCCCTGCTCTCAAGCTCGATAGGAGGGAATGGACCGGTGGTTAAGGATTGCTTCCATAACGCTAGCCCCGACATGGCCGAAGGAAATGGGCAAAAGCGACGCCATGGCGCCCCGATAGGTACCTTCTGGGGCTCCTTTTATTGACTCCTCTCCGGACGGCACCTGGTGATTTTCCCTTCTTTCCCAGACTCCATTGACAAACGGTCTTCTTTGCGTGCTGTCACTCGTTTCCGCAGCTCTTCGATTCTTTCTCGAACAACCTTTTTAGCATTATTCTTGTCTTGTCTGCCGTGTAACTGCCTGTCGTTCCGCAAGCGTGTGTTGATGTTGAGGTATGTTCGGTTTAAGCTTCTTTCTGGTTCTCCCCTTCTCTTGATCCACTCGTCGTCGATGGTCACCTCATGGGCTTAGATTCCCATGTGGGTTCTTGCGGGAGCAAGGAAAGTTCTCTAGAAGCCTAGGGAACCCCTTCCTGATCTCGTCGTCCCGATCCATATAGTCTTGATCGACCTCGCGCCTCTGTCCTCGGCTTTCAGAATGTGCTGTTGCTGACAAAGTAAACTAACCAGTTCGAGAAGTAATCGACCGGCTAAACGTACCACGTATTCTCTCAATAATCCATATTACACCATGGTCTCCTTAAGGACAACCTTCCTGGCTCTGGCCGCTGCTGTTGCCGTCTCAGCTGATTACTACATCGATCCCGATTCTGTCGACCCTTCCACAAGAAGTATGTCTATCTCCGAAGGGGGCAGTTACGTCGTAGTCCTTGTGTGACGGGCGACCCATCCCCCGACACATTCACAAGCTTCCTTTTCTCACAGTCTTTGCTTCCAGAAACTTGGTGCCAGCAAGAAATCAGCACCTGCCCATTGATTTGCCAGCAAGTCCCTCCAGGAACCACCGAGACGAACACCTGCGACTGGGTAAGTATATACACTCCTCCTTGATCGGCTGTTCTTTGCTAATGTTGGCTCGGAACAGGAAACCCTGACTTATGGCTGCGTCTGCGGCAATGGTCTTCAGCCCAATGTGTCCGAATACTCCCTCACGCTCCCATTCTTCACCTGCCAAGAATTCGGCATCCAGTGTCAAAAGAACTGCAATGGCGACAACCTGTGCCAGGCTGCGTGCCTTTCTGACCACCCTTGCGGTGCTCTGAGCCCCAAAACGAACTATTCCACCACCAGCACCACCATGCAGAAGACGGAGTCAGCCGGTGCCACTGCTACCACCTCTAACCAGGTTTTCGACGGTATTCCAGGTACTTCGGCTACCTCCACCTCTAGCGCTGATTCCGGCAACAGCAATGACCAGTCGGCTGCTGCTGCTCTCAACATCGGACGGAGCTATGGTTTGGCTGTCGTCGCCGGCGGCATCTTTGCCGGCTTCGCTTTCATGCTCTAAGTGTTCGAGCTCAGGCTCGTGGCTGGATTGGGAGCAAAAGGATGCCCCTGTGCGAGTTCTCATGAGGATGCAATCTGTTGCAGGAGTCCAGGCCTGGAGAACTGGGGATTAATCATGACCTATTAGGTCACATAACCATTTAAGCGATATATTAATGTCTATAATAGCCGGGTGCATGGATTTGGTCACACATAGCAAGGATTTGATTGGTTTTTTGGGTTGTTACCTTTAGTTGAGACGGCATGTTGGTAGTCGTCCGTCGATAAGATTTACCTAAACATAATACTGTACCAAAGCATGGCTGTCCTTCTGGAGTAGCTCTTGCATACTGCATAGTGGTCGCTGTTTTGCATACTCAATTATGTAAGGTTCGGGTCCCGTCCTTATGCGTGCATAGCGATCTGCATAGCGATCTGCATGAGCTTCCGTTAGGCTTTCACGTGTCAAACCTCAGATCTGTCAGGTCTTTGCAGTGATTGGTCGACAGCAGCCCAACAATTGAAAGTGACGAATATCGGGGGTCGGCCCATGGGACCGGCCGCAGTCACCGCCGCCCGCCGCCAATAACCAAAACAGGGGTTCATCAAAAAGAAAGAATATCCACAGCCGAAGCGACCAGACTCGTCGACAACTCCACAAATCAACATTCACCTTTGTTGTCTTCTCCTTAACCAACGAGGTACGATTCCACGATGATAATATAGAACAAATCTTGCTATTCTTGCTTGCAAACACCTACTGCCATCATTGGCGCGCCCTGCGAGTTGCTTCTGGAGGCCAAGACGGGACGGGTCTTAGAAACGGAGATCATGGCTTTAAACAGTGCGTGTGAACCACCTCGTTGGATGCCAACCCCACCACGACGCCTTGGTTACCTGGACGGGCCCAAGTGGTAGATGATACAGGTTATGCTAACCTGAAAAAGGACCAAGCCTGTCACGGGCTATAACGGAGTGCGTCTCAGACGAAGCGCTGTCGCATCTCAAGACCTACAAGTACTCGTCAGTGGACAAATCCCCTGTCTCTGAATATATCCTCAAACCCTGGGTGCGCCTTCCCTTCTCGCGTCTCTCACCGCCGTCTCCTCCGTACCGTGCGCGCATACTGATTTCATTACTTCGCAGTGGAACTTTTGCGTCGAACTCCTCCCGCTATGGCTCGCGCCCAACATGGTAACCCTGATTGGGTTCGGCTTCATCCTCATCAACGTCGTCTTCCTCGTACTGTACATGCCTGACCTCGTTGGTCCTGGACCGACATGGCTGTACTTCTCCTTCGCGGCCGGTCTCTTCATGTACCAGACCATGGACAACATCGACGGGAAACAAGCGCGAAGAACAGGAACCTCGAGTGGGCTGGGTGAGCTCTTCGATCATGGAATCGACAGTCTGAACTGCACTCTGGCTTCTCTTCTTGAGACAGCGGCAATGGGACTGGGAACCAGCAAGAGCGGTGTGTTCACCGCGCTGGTGCCGTGTCTTCCCATGTTCTTCTCGACGTGGGAGACATATCATACACATACACTCTACCTGGGGGTGGTCAACGGGCCGACAGAGGGCATCCTGTTCGCATGCATGATCATGGTGCTGAGCGGAATCTACGGCCCAGGGATCTGGACGGAGCCGTTGGTCAACCACCTAGGCGAGAATTGGACGTTTGGCTATGCGGCGCACATGGGAACCACAAGCATAAGGGACCTGTGGATCGTGTTCGTCACGGCCAGTCTGCTGGTGGGACATATCCCCTTTTGCGTCATCAACGTCGTCAAGGCCAGGCGATCCAGGGACCAGCCGGTGCTGCCCGTCTTCCTGGAGTGGACGCCTATGGCTGTCTTCACCATTAGCATCGGGGCATGGTTGTACAGCCCTTACTCGACCCTGATGCGGGAAAACCATCTAGTTCTGTTTTGTGTCACCATGGCCTTTGTGTTTGGACGCATGACGACCAAGATGATCCTGGCGCATCTGACCAGGCAGGATTTCCCGATGTGGACAGTCATGTTGTGGCCTCTTGTTGGAGGAGCGGTGTTGGGGAACCTGCCCAGATTCGGCTTCCCGGCTGTGTCGAAGAATGTCGAGTTGGGATACCTGTGGGCCTACCTGCTCTTCGCTTTCGTCGTCTACTCACGCTGGGCATGGCTGGTCACGACAAGCATCTGCAACTACCTTGGCATCAACTGCTTAACAATCCCTTACGAGAAGCAGGTTGCCAACCAAAAGGCAGCGCGTGCTGCCAAGGAGGCAGCTCATCAGGGCATCATCGCTAACGGCCTGAAGAAGGAGAGGCTGCACTGAGAGTAGCTTCCATCTGAAGGGTACAGGTGACTTCTCGGCTAGTCTGTCTGAACGAAGAACAAAGTATTAAGGTCATAGAGAGGTGTAATGCCATTGCTTCACGCATTTGGCCAGCATATTGAGACCGCATTGGGCGTGTCACCAAAAGAGGTGGTCGAGACATTTTACACATTCTAGCCAGTCTTGGCTATCAAAAGGTGGGAGAGTGTCGGGCATTAGAATACCTGAGCTGCATAAGGCGACATGGCGTTTAGAGGGAGCCTTGTGACGCTTCGGTTCGACACTTGCATTCGGGTTTAGACGAAGTAGTAGACTGCAGTAGTTCATACTGCCATACATTCAAGAATTAATGATTTGTACGACGAGACCTTCTTCCTGTGCATACGGATTCCTCCCCTTCATCTGACTGGCAAACTCTTCCACTTTGATCTCGACGATGTGCTCTCCCGGCACCACCACCAGACCAAGGTAACGTGACTGCATGTCTAGCTTGACTGTCCCAGCTTCTGACATCTGTAGAGATGCGTCTGCTTTCTTGGGCGGTGAGGGTGCTCTGTACTCGTATGTATGAGCGAGTATGATGTTACTGTCCTGATGTGACATTAGTAGGGGTTTCTGGATATTGCGGTAGGAAGGACGTACTGGGTCTGTGCACTTGAACTGGCCAAGGAACATGCGCGAGTCGGTGGTTGTTATGCGGAGGTTCTTGTTGAGGAGGGATTGCAAGAAATGGGAGGCGGCCTCCTTCTCCGCCTGTGATGACATCGTAGAGACCTGTTTTTTTTAAGAAATCGTAAAACGGTTCACATTTGGATTTTGTATCCTGAGTTGTATACGTCTATCTTGAATGTGCAAGCGGATCTTGGGATGGAGGTTGTCGAGGTTGTGTAGAAGCTTCCAGGTTGTTTAGGGGTTAGGGTTATGAATATGTCCAGCGACGAAGCTGCACGAACTTCTTGAGAATCACTCGGAATGCTTCTCAAGGGCTTGAGTCATGTCTTCCCTCGACTAGGTACGACGGTCAGTTTCGCATATTCTTTCCGTACTCATGATGACAAGCTACTAGTTGTAACCAATCACCGCCCGTCATGTCTTTCTGCTGTCTGGCTTGCGCCCGCAATCCATGCGCACAATTTTCATGAGTCATAAGTCTCTCTATTCACATTTGAACAACAACCAACACTGGGTCCCATAGCTCAGTTGGTTAGAGCGTCGTACTAATACCTCCTCATACGAGATATCAAGTAAATGCGAAGGCCGAGAGTTCAAGCCTCTCTGGGACCAAGTTTATCTTTTGGTTACCGTCAACTTACGGTTTACGTCTTGAGATGAGTTTCTTTTTCTTTTGTAAGGTGTAACAAGACTCGATTTCGTACTTTCTCATGTTGAATGTGCTCGTAGCTTCTTTTTCTTGTGTGTCTACGAGGAAAATGTCGGAAACTGCTATTGTTGCGATGTTTGACACCAAGAGTTGGATTACCCTACACTGTAGACGGCCAGTTCTAGCATCCTCTTGACGACATCACTGAACACCGGGATTTCCAGTCAGTTTAGGGCAAATATGATCGGGCAAAGTAGCAGTCACAGACTTTGCTTTGGTTCAGTGGCTTATACTCTTTACGCAAAGCAGTTTACAGGGCTCAGTTCAGCCATCGCGGCCGAGCACATGTCGAAGCCAACTTATCGATAAGATCTCCAAAGCCCACCTGAATACCTGCCTGCTGCCTTGATGAGCAACCAAGATCTAGCAGTTACTGATCGGCAGGGAGTCATCATCATCAGTACGCCCACTGTTTTCCTGCTGGATCCGGATCTAGGACATTCGCTTTTACCTGCGAATGCGAATCTTTTTGACTCTGGCGCAAGCGTGTTCTCTCATTCTTGCACTCAAGAGACAACATGATTTCCCAGCTACCTGTGACATCATAGCGTGCTAGGCAACGACCAGGCGCGATCGCCACCAGGACTTCACAATTGCACGACCCGTCGCGAGCCACATTCACACGCACGACCGGCTGAAACAACCTTGAGTGACCGCGACCATGGGTGTCAACGGCCTCTGGACGGTGATTCAACCTTGCGCGAGACCGACGAATCTTGCGACGCTCAATCGGAAACGACTCGCCGTAGACGCCTCTATCTGGATCTACCAGTTCCTCAAAGCCGTGCGCGACAAAGAAGGCAATGCGCTACGAAACAGCCATGTCGTTGGTTTCTTTCGTCGTATCTGCAAGCTTCTCTGGTTCGGGATCAGGCCGGTGTTCGTGTTCGATGGCGGGGCGCCGGCGCTGAAGCGAGCCACGCTCCAGGGAAGACGGAGGAGACGCGAGGGGAGGAGAGAGGATGCAGTTCGGACGGCTGGGCGACTGCTGGCGGTACAGATGCAGCGGGCCGTTGAAATGGAAGGCGAGGAGAGGAGGAGAAAGAAAGAGGAGGCGGCAAGAAACGAGGCAAATGGCACGGTAGCCGAACAAGAGGAGGTTATACCAGACCTGGAGAACATTGTATACGCTGAAGAAGTGGGGATGAAGAAGGAGGAGATCAAGAAAGCTCGAGGTGGCTTCCGAAAACAGGACCAATATCATCTGCCAGAGCTGGCAAATGGTGTTCAGGGGATGGGCCAACCGGATGACCCCAGGGTCATGAGTGTCGAAGAGCTGGAGGAGTATGCACGGGACTTCAATAGTGGAGAAGACATCAACCTCTATGATTTCAGCAAGATAGACTTCGATGGCGATTTCTTCAAGAGTTTGCCACCGGCTGATCGGTACAATATCCTCAACGCGGCAAGACTGCGGTCAAGGTTGCGGATGGGTTTGAGTAAAGAACAGTTGGATGAAATGTTTCCCAATCGCATGGACTTCTCGAGGTTCCAGATCGAGAGAGTCAGGGAGAGGAACATGCTTACTCAACGACTAATGTACGAGTTGGGTATGGAGGGAACGGACTTCACCATTGGCGGAGGCAGGATCGCCGGAGAGAAGAACCGCGAGTATATCCTGGTCAAGAATGACGGTGTGGAGGGTGGTTGGGCACTTGGTGTCGTCAGCAAAGAGGAGAAGGACCGTGGCGAAGCGCACAAGCCTATTGATGTTGATGCGCTGGACTTTCGGTTCCAGAACAAGAATAGGACCGAGGAGGCCGAGTCATCCGAAGATGAGTTCGAAGATGTCCCTATCGAGGGTGTGAACCGACTGCCTAAACCGAAGCCAGGCGTGACAGCGGCGGCTATACAAAAGGCACAGGAAGCTGCGGCTGCACGACGACGATTATACGGGACCGAGGGACCGAATCCGGAGGATAATGACGAGCACATGTTTGTCGGTGAGGATTCCGCTGACTTATTCGCTGATAAGGAAGTCATAGTAGGGGATGAGGATGAGGATCTCAACAGGGCCATCGCCATGTCCCTTGAGAATCAGCACGGTATCAGCGAGCAAAAGAATTCCGAGGATGATGAGGATGAGTTTGAAGACGTGGACATTCCAGGACCGACATGGCAACAAAGAGCTGTGGAGGCACCCAAACCCATCGCGACGAGCAATGGTCGCATGGTTGCTCATATCGTCAACAACCGTGCCGCCGCGGCCGCCAGAAGACGAGAGAGTTCTGCAAGTGGTGACAGTGATGATTTGCAAGCTGCTTTGGCATCAGCAGCAAAGAAACGAGCCGCTGCTGCAGCGAAAACGAAACCTGCAGCAAAACCAGCAGTGAAGTTGAATGCGAAGAATCCTTTTGAGGGTCCGTTGCCGTTCGAGAAGCTCGACTGGAAGAGTTCTATCTTTGGAAGTTCTTCGAAGCAATCGCCTTTCGGGGTTCTTCCCAAGCAATCATCCGCTACAGACAGGGTTGACAAGGGAAAGGGAAAGGATACGGAGACTAGCACGTTCGAATGTCTAGCGGAGGACGATATGGAGGGTGGCTTTGAGAGAGAACCAGAGAACAAGGATGGCGAAAAGGAAGGCCAAGCGCCAGAGCAGAAGCAGGACGACAAGCCATTACCATTGCCCCCTTGGCTAACTGACAACACCGACATTCGCGAGTCAATCAAGAAGCAGACTGCAACAGAACAGCAGATGAGAGCAGAGGATGAAGACAGAGAGAGACAGCAGGAGCTACTCCGACAACATCAGCAAGCACGGGAAGTTATTGAAATTGAGGATGAGGATGATGACGACGATGTTGAAATTATCGACGCGCCGCCCCTGAAGGATGTGGTAGCGACAGTAACCACGCCAGCAACGGACGTTGAAACGGCTGATGCTGGTACGACTGAACCAAAGGAAGGGCCCGAGATCGTGAAAGCTGTGACATCACAACCAGAGTCGATACGGAATCCGGTTGCGGAGCCAGTCGCTGCCCGCCAAGCACCACCCTCGCCATCTCCGGAGATCGAGTTCGAGGATATCGAAGTGCCTGCACAGTCTGAGCCTCAAGCCAAGGAAGAAACTGCTCCAAGCCAGCATTCAGCCAGATCGTCTCAGCCGTTACCAGACGAGCCTGTGCTACCGCCCCTAGCTCAACAGGACCAGATTCTAGGTCTAGGCGGCGAGGACTCAGTGAACAACGATACCTATCCGGAACCGCCAGCCCCGGAAGAATTTGATGATTTTAGTGATCCGGAAGAGGAAGAGCTTCTGGCACAAATGGCCGAGGAAGCTGAAGAACACGCCCGGTTCGCCAGCCAACTGAATCATAGGTCTGAAGCTGAAAACAAGGAAGCCTACGAGCGAGAGCTCAAAGCTCTCCGTGCCCAGCAGAAGAAGGACCGTCGTGATGCAGACGAGGTGACCCAGATCATGGTCACCGAATGCCAGGCTCTTCTACGCCTTTTCGGAATACCCTATATCACGGCTCCCATGGAAGCTGAGGCGCAGTGTGCTGAGTTGGTCAAGCTTGGACTCGTGGATGGGATTGTCACTGATGATTCCGATACCTTTCTATTTGGTGGCACGAGGGTGTACAAGAATATGTTCAACGGGAACAAGTTTGTCGAATGCTATCTTGCTTCCGATCTGGAGAAGGAACTATCTCTCTCCAGAGAAGAACTGATATCTCTGGCTCAGCTACTGGGATCCGATTACACTGAAGGCTTACCAGGCGTCGGACCGGTGACGGCAGTGGAGATTCTCTCTGAGTTTCCCGGCCGTGACGGGTTGAAAGAGTTCAAGGAGTGGTGGCAGGACGTGCAGCTCAACAACCGGCCGAAAGAAGCAGATGCCTCGTCGCCCTTCCGAAAGAAGTTTCGTAAATCACAAGCGACCAAGCTCTTCCTCCCACCAGGCTTCCCCAACCCAGCGGTATTCGACGCCTACCTCCACCCTGAAGTCGATGCCAGTACAGAGCCGTTCCAATGGGGTGTTCCGAACCTAGAAGGCTTACGACAGTTTCTGATGGCCACAATCGGGTGGAGCCAGGAACGGACAGACGAGGTCCTGGTCCCTGTGATCAAAGACTTGAACAAGCGAGAGGCAGAGGGCACACAGAGTAACATCACACGCTATTTCGAAGGAGCGGTGGGAGTGGGCGCTGCACCCAAGGAAGGATTTGCGCCAAGAGTCAGGGCCAGGGGAAGCAAGAGGATGGCGGACGCTGTAGGGAAATTGAAGGCCAGAACTCACGGGGAGACATCGTTGAGCATGGAAATGCCTGTTGCCCTTATGCCTGAGCCTTCACAGAAGAGGAAGAGGAAAGGGAAGACACCTGCTCCTGGCATTGACGATGACGATGCAAATGATGATAATGACGGAACCGTGGATAATGCAGACAGCGATGTTGTCCGCGATAGCCCCCGGGCAAGGGGAGGTAAGCGTGGGAGAGGAAAGAGAACCAAGGCGTAGATAAGTCAAATTTACTGGAGATACCCTGATCTCGACGGCTAGTATTCATTCTTCTCTCCAGGGTCCTACTCCGTCCACCTGAGGGATTAAAAGATCGGCGCAATATCTCTGGTTTCAGGTTGACTACCCCATGTTCTAGAAGCATGCTTCCCGTCCCGCGGGTCGGATTTTCTGCGTGTAAGTGCATCGGGGTGCAGAGCTGTCGACAACCAGAAAAACCACGCAACCGGGACGAACCATGTAAGCCTGTAAGGGACTTTGCGATAATCTGAGTCGGGCGGCACGTTGCCCTGAAACAATCGTGGCTTCACTATCCCGAGTCAGCGGCACGGCTCGGCGATGGGGAATCCACATCAGCTGACAGGCATACACACATTCACTACCAGCTGTCAGCACAGAAGTGAGCCATGCATGGTACACATGGTTAACCAATATTGCCAGCGC